CAACGCATACCAGGTAAGGCAATAGATGAGTAGAAGGGTTCATCAACTGCCGACGGCAAAATCTTAAAGTAAAGAACCGTAAAAACAAATATGAAATATCAAATATGATATTTTATTCAGAGTCATATCCTCTATATGCAATTATGTTCTTATAGATTATATAAACTACCAAATGTGATGTTTCATTCCATTACATTCACATCTAAATTGTATGTATATTCTATGGAAAGAATACACTAAAATGTTTTAAATTTTATTCGGAATAATGTTCTCGAAAAAATGTATATATTTATTCTACACTTAACTGCTTCACATACATAATAATAAATTTATAGAGACTTTAGCAATTCGGCTCAGACATAATTTATCTTCTGCATAAATCGATAAACAATTTTAGAACAAGTCGACAGCCAGCTAACGAACTAACCAAACAACTTCTAAGCAGCACACGCTCATCACCCACAAATACATTGAATTCTAACCCACAGATCCCTTTCCGGCGATGCTGCCCCTGCACATGGCTCAGCCGCAGCAAATTATGATGCCCAGACGGCCGACGTTGCCGGGCGTGGAAGCCAAGTTGGAGAACAACGAATTGTGGCAGCAGTTCCATCAGATCGGCACCGAAATGATCATCACCAAGAGCGGCAGGTAAGATTCCCAAGAATTGTGCCACATCCTATGCAAATAGGCGCGAGGTCGTCTATATACTCTAGAACTTGAAAAGTCAAGTGCATCGCGGCCTATGTCAATATTTGCCATGACCCAGCTCTCTCTCCCTCTCTCTCTGTCTGTCTCACTCTGTCTTTGGTCGTGGCCGTGGCCTAATGTGGCGCCTAGCGATAATTCAAAACGCAGCAGGAGCTCGCTCGTTGCGCCGGCGACGGACAACAGTGACAACAAGTGCGGCCGCAACCGCCGTCCTGGCGCCGGTTCGCTCATAAAACGAAAGAAAGAACAAAATCTGTGCCCAGATTTGACAATGCTGCGAGACGAAGATGCCGACATGCCCTGGTCTCTGAGACATAGGGCTCAGCTTGGCTGTCTACCTGCGTTTTCACACGTTTGCCCACAATGGATCGCTTTGTTGGCCCTCGTCGAGTATCTTATGCATATTTCTGATAGCTACCGACTACCGATCGCTGTCCGCTCGAAATTAACATAATTATGAGCTGACCAGTCTGTGTAGTGTGTGTGTGCGTGGGGAGTAGATGCAGTGTGTCCACTTTCTCGGCTCATTAGGCATGCATTGACTGCTCGTAGCGCCACATTTGGAAGCCGTTAAGCTGCATGCCCGACAGATCAGATCTCAAATAATTGTTTGGCGCCATGCGCCGCGCTCCCTGCAATTAATCATACGAAACTCAATAGAAGAACGAAAGCGTGCATTGTTTTGAGTCCGATATACCCGGTTTTGGGTATTTGTTTTCGCTACGTTACGTTTTAAATCGCTCACTCGCTCTCTGCCTGCTCCGCTGCTCCGCTGCTGTCCGCTGTTCATAATTACACACTTGTTAGGCCGGGCCACAAATCAAAGTGCCAGGCAACGCCTACTTTGCGCTTAGAAAGAGAGGAGAACCTTGATTTATGTGCTTACCACAAACAAATACTGCTCACCTGAGAATACATACCTATTGTGCCTTGGTCCACTTAATCAACTTCTATTATTGTGGTTCTCTTGCAGACGCATGTTTCCCTCGATGCGCGTCTCGCTGAGCGGCCTGGAGGAGGACACCAGCTACTGCGTCCTGCTCGAAATGGTGCCCATCGGGGACTGCCGCTACAAGTTCTCCGGCTCCCAATGGGTGCCCGCTGGCGGCGCCGAGCCACAGAGCCCACAACGCATGTACCTCCACCCGGACAGTCCCGCAACGGGCGCCCACTGGCAGTCGCAGGCGCTGCTCTTCAACAAGGTCAAATTGACGAACAACACACTGGACAGCAATGGACACGTAAGTGACACTTGATCCTGTAACACAATTTCATGATAACTAATGAACTTTCATTGCTATTTCTGCATATGTATACGAAACAGATTGTCTTGGCCAGTATGCACAAGTATCAGCCGCGTCTCCATGTCATCCGCAGCAGCGAGCTCACCCAGTTGCCGTGGGCACCGCAGCAGGCATTCGTGTTTCCGGAAACGGAGTTTGTCGCCGTAACGGCCTATCAGGTGGGTAACTCATGAGACTCTTCATTTAGCTAGACCGATTCATCAGCTAAATAAGATAGCTGCAGCCGCGGGGGGTCAGCGACTAATTGTCGCCCGCATGCGCAAAATCCACTTGAGCCGTCGTGACAGACGTCGCTCATTGTCTGCTGCATTGACACCAGTGCTCAAGTGTTTTGCTGCATGTGCATGACTACTCCGCGACGCCGGCCAGGTCGGATTACAGTCTACAATAAGTCTAACCAAAACGTTGTTAATTTCTTGCCTTACAGAACGATCGTATTACCAAGCTGAAGATCGACAACAATCCATTTGCCAAGGGCTTCCGCGAGTCCGGCCAGTCGCGTTGCAAGCGCAAGCTAAACAGCAGCGCCAACTCCAGTGCTGACTCCGAAGATGATGTCTCGAGCGTGAGTAGTTGTGATTCGCCTCAAGCCAAACGTCAGCGCTCGGACTTTGAAGTGGATTCGCAACGAAGCTTGTCACCGGGCTATTATCCAGCTGCTACTGGGCCATCATGCCTAAGCCCACCCTTGCATCCGTATCGCCAAGCCGTTGGTTATGCGCCGGGCGCAGCCTTCCTACCGGCCGCCTACTTTGCTGCAGCGCCGCCGCCAATGACAACGCCTCCAGCAGCAGCGATGCCTCCTGCAGCAACTTCACCAGCAATGACAGCTGCTACCTCCAGTGCATCCACAGCATCTCCAGTAGCTAACACTCCGACCAGTTCGCCGCGCGCAACAACTTCCACGAAGCGCAACAGTTTCAGCATTTCCGCTATTCTGGCTTATTAGACGCAGCGCCGATGGTGTCGCCCCCATTTAAGCTTTTGTTGTGATTACAGTGTGCAGTATATGAGCCTTAAGTTGTAATATGTTAATTAGTTTTAAGCGCAGCTTATAAATAAAGCAAAATTTAAATACAAAATGTTCGATAAGTCTCCTGCCTTAAATGTATCGAAAGACGAGAGTCGATAGTTTGGTCAATCGATAGTCAAGCCAAGCGGGCCCCGCAACCTTCGGCGCTTCCGTTTTTACAGGTTTCGCAAGTCGAAACAACTTTGGCAGGCCGCACAGCGAATTAATGTGCTCCATCAGCGTCGACGAAAACCAAAGAGAACGGACGCTCGAACTGGCCGAAAACCAACTCCGGTAGTAGTTAAAACAATTCTCGCAGATAAGGCATCCATTATGAGCAGCGATTTGACGGCTTTGAAGGCGTTTGGTCTTTGCCGAACCTCTCGACTGTCGGCCGATGACGCAGAAGCTGCTGCTGCTGCGCTGTCGTTGCTGTGCATCTCTTTGCGGCTTGTGAAATTGTAGTTTTTTATCGCACCTTTTATGGCCGTTAGCCATTGGGAATCGGGAGTCGAGAGCAACTGGAAACTGGAAACTGAAAAGTGGGAAACGAATCGAGTGGTGTGGCCATGCATTATCGCGGCGAATGCGACAAATCTGTCTGTGGGACGGCGGCTGCCTTTTCGGCCTGCATAATTGCCCCGATAAGCCAGCGGGCGACATGAGTTGCCACGACGCATGCGTGCGGTCCATGCTGGGGAGGCCTGGCCAAACGATGGCGCCAGCCGTTTTCAGTTTAATAACTTTAATTAAGTTTTTAGGCTAGGAGCTCGAGTCTGATTACGGTTAAGTTCAAACAGCTCGTTGCCATTTCCTCTTCAAATGTTCGTTGAAAATTTGGTTTCATTTATTCGTTTGAGATTTAATTTCATTCATAGAAATCTTTGCATATTTTATAAACTTAATTTTTAGCTAGCGCGAAATAATTCATTGACTACAAGAAGTTTGGACATTGATTTCGAGCTGCTTTGGCTAATTTTGGCCTCTTTCATCTGTCTTGGTCTTAGTTTTTGTCACATAAATTTGGTTTTTAAATTTTGGTACAATTAAATTATTTGATTTGCACATTTTCACCCAACAAACTGTTGGCAGCGGCATCAGCGCTTTGGAAGTGTTTTTTAAACGCTGAGCCTTAATTTGTTGAATTTATAAATATATGTACATATTGTATTGTATATTGATTTGGTTGTTTTCTTGTTAAAAACAGTGGCAAAAAGCGTCAAAATTCGTAGATTATGCGATAAAAATGCAAATGTTTTCGCTCACGTTTCTAATTTGTGTTTGTTTTAATATACTTAATGAATTTTTATGTGTGGGCTGTGCTCTCTGTAATCCGGTTTTGCGGTCAAAGCTGTTGATAATGATAATTCCGATAATGATGCTATATTGTTTTTGTTTCTTCTCCTTCTGCCTTTTGTAAAGGTGTTGCTCTGTTCGTACGTGATCGCTTGTTTTTATGTTACTAAATATAATATATGCAGATGATTCGACCATAAAACTGATGGCGTGCTTGGCTTAACGATTCAACAAAAACAAGAAATGAGCGAAATATTTAATTAAATTTGAGATTAAGACCAAACTGGTTATCGAAATTTGAATAATAGCGGAAATGCGAACGGGTGTGTGTGCCTCAGATACACAGTCGATGTTATTGTGGATGGGTGTGTTTCTTAGCTAAACTGTTTGAATATGATATAAAATAAATGTAAAGGGAACCTGGCTGGCTCACAATGAATCATAGGATGATCGTAATATAATTACAATGCTTATTTGAAGAAACTTTACTGAATCATAATAATTTTCTAGCATAACATTTGAGTGCACTGTTACGAACATTTTTGATTAGCCAATTCACCATGCAACTTGGTGGTAAATGGTTTGTGTATTTGCTAACCAAAGAGTTTGACATGCTAATTCACAAAAGATGGCGCCACTTAGCTTAATATTGGAACATTAGTCAAGCGACAATTGCACCCTGTATAAAGCGATGGAGGTAAGTTTCAAACAAATCTTATTTGGTTTATTTAAAATGCAGGTAATCATCACGATATTATGCTGCCAGCTTGGACAGCTCCTCTTGCAGCTCGGATGTGTCGATGGGTGCCTTCGGCTGCTCCTTGGCCCCGGCCAGCACAGATGCCAAGAGACGGGGACAACTCTTCTTGTGCATGAACCAATGTAGACGTTGGCACTCGCGGTCGCAGTATTTGACCGCCTTGCACTTGGAGCACTTCTTGTCCGGCTTCTCTTGGCCACACGTGCTGCAGTAGCTGCACTCGTCCTATGAAATGTAAAGACGGGGACTTAAGTGAAAAGAGTTCGCAGGATTTATAATTCAGACTCACCACAAATCCGCGCAATCCGTTGATGGCGTTGCGCAGGATGACGAGCGCAGGAGGCGCATCCTTCGCGCCCAGCTGCGTGGCTATTTGGCGAAAAATGGTGCACTCGCGGTAGGGAAACTCTCGAGCGCATTCACGCACAGTATACTCGACGTAGTCCAGCTGGCCGAGGTTGTTCTCCTTGAGAACGCGCTTTATGAACACCTCAACGAAGTCGTTTTTGTTGGCCTCGTTGTCGTCGGCCTTCTCCTTGTGCTGCGCCTTGAACTGCTCCTCGCAGCGCATCAGTTCCTTGACGATCCAGGCCAAGTAGTGGAATTTAAAGGCGAGCAGTTCGTTTACGTCGTGGGTCTTCTGCATCTCCTTCTCGCACATCAGCGAAAGGGCCTTGCGAAGATTGGACAGTATCTTGAGGAGACCTAACGACTGGGCATTTAGCGTGATTCGAACGGGATGCAGATTGATTTCGGTAACAAAGCTGTGGAAAGACCGCAGAAGCACGACCGGAATGTACGGCTCTGTCTGCTGGCCGTGCGGTTGTGTGTAGTACTCTAGGCTGGATCGTGTCACATAATTGTTGATGGTCTCCACACACGAGTGGTTGCCTACAAAAGCGGCCATTTGGGAGGCAGTGCGATTTACGCTGTTTATGCTGTTCGGATTGATGCCCGCATCCAGGAGCTGGCGGCACACGTGCGTATTTCCGGACAGTGCGGCGAAGTGGAGCGGCGTATAATCAGCGCCATGCTGGTTCAAATTGATGTCGGCCCCCTGTTAAGTTAATATATTAGCAATTGCAAATGCGCTTTGCACTCATTGGGCTGCCTTACCATGTCCAACAGCAACTGCACTGCTTCCTTGTTGCCCTTAAAGCTAGCGTGCGCTAGAATCGACATACCGCTGTCGTCCACGAAGTTGACGCCGCCCTTCAGCTGGCCCAGCATTTGTTTGAAGCCATTGGTGTCATTCTTTGATATACAATCAATTAGCTGTTGCTGCACTTCATCCAGCTGTGACTTTTTTCCGTCTCCACTCATGTTTTTCGATTTTGATCAGAAAACTAGTTAACGAAAATGTTGAGAGCGGCAGTGTGTACACACTTCGGAACGGTCATCACATTTTCGTTTGCTGAGTTTCCAACACTGATACGATAGCAAACTAGTACGGTGCTCATAAATATATTAACTGAACGCATATAAACGAATAATGATTTGTATACTAGAATAACATATAATATATATATATTCGATGTATATAAAGATTTTATTGCTATAAATATAATACTCATATTCTCTTAATGTGCATGCAGTTTGTAGTTTGTTTAAGCTGCGTACCAATTGTGATGAATAAATACCCTTTACTTTTTTACCGATTTGGTCTGCCTGGCAGTACTGGGAAAGTCAAATTTAGTACGTTTTTAGCTGCCGTTGAGAGAGGTGGTTGCGCGTGTGTTGCGGCGTATTAATTTTTTCGTGCATGTTTTTATATTTTTAAAACACAAGCCTTGTGTGTTCGCTTGTGATGTTTGAAACTTGAATTGAAAAGAGCAACCATTAAATAAAATTAATAAAAGGCTGCAAATACGATACGCGAGTTAACGAGCAATCGCTGCGAAAAAGGTGATAAGCGCGCAATTGTCCCTGGTTGTGTATGTTGGTTTTTTTTTTGTTGCATTCGATGAAATTCATGTTTTCGCTGAAATTCCAATGCAGGAATAATCCACAAATCCACCCTAAAAAACCAATGAGAAATAACAAAACTGTGTGCATATAACAAAACAGATAAGCGCGCAAAATAGCAGTAGCAGCAGCAACTGCAGTTTGAAGTGCTTGACTATAAGTTACCCAGTACTTTGATTGAATATTAATTTGAATGTAAATTGAATTGTTATCGCGCCAGCTCTATTGCCTGATATGAATGAAAACATGCATATGTTTAATACTAATATGACTTCTATTAGTGACATATGTTTACTTTATAGGCTGATATATGTCATCTACCCCTTTCTGCAATAGCTGCAGGGTATTCAAAAGAGAAGTGACACCCCGATAAGGCGATGCAGATAAACAAAGCCTCAGTGCTATGACGGTAACACACATACATGTTCACATACATATGGGCGTGTGTGTGTGCAATAAAATAAAATTATTAATAAAAGAAACTCGCGCAAACTTTTGGCTGCTCTTTCTTCTGTCTCGCCCTATTAACTGAAAGGCGAGTGGAAGGCGTGCGGATATCTAAAATGTTTACATGTGGCTGTGTGGCGAGAAAAATTGCCTTATTCCTACTTGGCGTGAGCATTGGCCTTGCGGTGATTGCATATGTGTGCGTGTGTGCGTAGTTGTTTACTAATTTCGATAAGTTTTAGTTTCGCACCATTTCCTGCGCACAAGCAGCTCTCAACAGAACAAATACACACATACACACGCACTCACACATGCACAAAGAGACACATGGCAAACAGCTTCGGTGCAGATCACCCCCCGCAATGCAAATGTCGTTGTTGCTGTTGCTAGCGTTTGTTAGTGCTCCCCTCTCTTTCTCTCTCCCGTCTTTCTATCTGTCTTCTATTCTGTTAAAAAGAACTGTTTACTTTGTCCACTATGTAATCCTAGCAGCTGTTGCTGTCACAATTTATTAACCCTTAGGAGATAGCACGCACAACAGGTGCAGTGCTTCAGCAGCAGCTGCTAATGCCTAATGAATCGCCCCATTCTGCTATACCTTTCAGAGTGAACAAGTGCACAATAGAGTGAAACGCAACAAAAAGTGATAAAAAATAAAATCTATATTAATATCAGAAGAAGCAGAGGAATACCAACATAAAGCTGAATATATTTAATAAGCCACATTTGTAATAAATTAATTAATAAAATGGGCAAACTGCTGAGTCTGTTGTCACGCGATGATTCGAATTGCTGTGCCGCCAAGTCCTACGATGTATTCCTTGATTTTGAGAATGCCGCGCCCACGGATACGGAGCGGGAGGTGTACGATGAGGTGGAGCGCGTGCTCAAGGAATCGGAAGTCGTTCTGGACGAGATACAAATCTATAAGGTGAGTGCGTCATCAACCCGTTTTCAAATATCACTTTAAACCAGTCGCGTTAATAAGTAACGAACGATTAACGTAAACTAGCTGTCCATTTTACTATATTCACTAAAGAAAATATTTAAAATTTAGCTGCGCTCTTATTGCTACCCTCTCAAATGATAAGTTGAAGCGAGAGCGCAATAATCAAATGACAATGTGCGAAAATAACGGGGGGCAGGCAACAAATTGAGTATTTAACCTTTGCTAACAGCGTCAACAGTTATTTGATCTCTCTCTTCTCTCTCTCTCTCTCTCTCTGTATGTGTGTCTGTCTGCAAACTAATGAATGCTCTTTGTCCAGTGTTGCCAGAGTTCTCGTCAAACTTTTATTAGGCAATATATGTATGCATATGAACTGCAGTGCTGCCAACTTTTTACCAGAATAAAAAGCTGTTTTTAGATGGAAGAAACGGAAAAAAA